GCCCCTCAGGCCACCCCAGGGTGGGCTCAGCCCCAGCACGCCCCGCCCTGTACCCAAACTGTTGTTGCAAACTGCATCACCCACATCCTCCAACAGCCACCACCGCAGGCAGGAGTGCAGAGGAAGCTGCTTCCCCCTCGCAGGCAGCTGTGACTTTAACTCTTTTCCTGCTGCCATTCTCTCTAACCTYTCTGTGGTTTCTGGTAGGGGAGGCCGTGTTCTTGGGCTCCTGCAGGAGTCAAGGACTAAGAGTTGCCTGCGTGGTTTCTCCAAAGGAAAGCAGAGTGGGATGAGAGGGGGAAATGGGTGCTGAGCCCTGAGAAAYGGGTTAAACTGTGTAAAGGAGTGGATGGAGGGAACCCGCTCTGCTGTGAGGCAGCCTGTCCCCAAAACATCCGTTTTAGCAGCTCTGAAAACATCCCCAGCCATGTGGAACAGCCAGCTCTGGCTGCTTCACACGCACTTCAAAGCCGAGCTTCCCCCGCCGCAGCCGCAGCCGCACCTCTGCTGCCCGGCACATCCTGCCTCCCCCACCCAGAACCATCCCTGTCCCTTCCCAGCCCGGGCMCACCCCACACAGGGCTTTTCCAGGGAAAAAAAAAACGGGAATCCTCATGGATCAAACGCTGCTTTTGGCTTGAACTTCCCAAGCGCTCCTTGGCCAGGACTAACCGGGCTGGATTGACACGCTGCAGGCGATGGATAAATAAACATCACCTCTGGCTAGAGGGTTTGCAGGTCATGGGCTCATGGATTTCTGGAGCGGAAAGGATGTTAAAAGTGCTCCAAGCCCTCTCCAAGCTGGCCATGAGCGTTTCTAGGGGTGTAAAAGGTCCCAGGTGTCCCCAGCTCAGCAGCTCAGGTGTGATGGATCCAGGATTGGGATCATTTCTCCTCTCCCTGCAGCTGCCAGAGCCYCTGCTGCCCTTCCGGCTGTACAACGAGCTGATGGGGCTGGCCAAGGAGAGCCTGCAGGGCGGAGAGGCCAAGGGGCACAGCGGGAAGGGTGGCCCCGAGCTGGTGGACAGAGGAGCGGACACGGAGCGCGTGGTGCTGAGCCTGGTGCTGAGGCTGAGGGAGCTGCTGAAGGAACTGCCCAGAGAGAACATGGCCACGCTGCAGTACCTGCTGCAGCACCTGAGGAGGTGAGAGGGGCATCTTTGGGGYTGCTGRGCACCTTTGGGGCTGCTGGGTGCATTTGGGGCTGCTGGGCACCTTTGGGGCAGGGAGGTGAGCGCAGCCTCTCCAGCAGGGTCAGGAGGGAGGTTTGTGGGTGCTGCTGCTTCTCTCCCTCTCGTGAAGCTCAAATTCTCCATCTCAGCATCTCCCCCACCCCTCTCCCTCCTCGCTCTCACCAGCTGTTCCTCCTCCTCCCRCCCAGGATCGTGGAGGTGGAACAGGACAACAAAATGACCTCAGGCAACTTGGGAATCGTCTTCGGGCCGACGCTGATGCGCCCCAGGCCCACGGATGCCACCATTTCCCTGTCCTCGCTGGTGGATTATCCCCACCAGGCTCGGATCATCGAGGCTCTCATCATTTTCTACCCCACCATCTTTGAGCACAAGGAGGTGTCACCAGCTGAGCTGGGCAGACGCGGCTCGGGCACCACCGAGGAGGGGACCAGCGGTGCTGAGAGGGTAGGAACCTCCACCAAGGGACATTTATGGACCTTCATGAGCTAATTCCTGGTGGGTGAGAATTCTCTGTGCCCTCACTGCTGTTTCTGTTCCCTCCCAGGCCCGGGCAGGCTCTCAGCCCACYGGTCCCTACCTGGAGCTGCCTTCGGAGAAGGGGAATTTGGGTTTCAGYGCTGATTCACTCACAGGTCAGTGAGGGGCACTGAGGGGTCCTGGTGGGTTCAGATCTCAGGGTACAAAGAC